ACGCCCATCACAGCCAATGATGGGTTAATTGGTAGGGGGCGCTCACCGATCGTTCTTACGTAACTCAATCGTTCCGTTGTGCGGCTGCTGGTTGGGCTCGAGAGAGAGAGAGCCCTTAAGGCGCAAGGGAACGATTGAGTCCCGTAATAACGATCGGTGAGCGCCCCCTACCATTGTATATTCCCAATCGAAACCGACAGGACATCGGGCTCGTGGCCCAGTGGTTAGAGGCGTGAAATTCTAACCGGTCGCGAGTACGAGCCTCGGGTGTTCCGCACTCCGGGGTTGGGTATGACTGGCTGACGACGGCTAATAAGCCAGAAATGGCCATTCCAGTCTCCCTTGTCTTTGTCCGTGATAACATACTGATCGGTTAATTGCATGCACACCTCCACGTCCTCCCTTCCATTTTCCCTAGTTATCACTACCTTCTAAGTAACTGCCTCTTATCCCCGCCTCCACCCCACCCTGCCCCCACATTCCCCATGTATGAGAAAGCGGACTGCAATCGATTTAACTTACCAATCACAAGTCTCACATTTACCCCGCCCCCATATAAATGTACCGGCCTGACGAGAATTTATAATAATTTTTATTAAAGACCCGTCGGCGTCCCATCAAAGCACGATGCTCCCCAACTGGTCTTTCGGGAATTAAAACGTTTAACATATCTCCTCGTTTTGACGACGACATATCCCAGTGTCTGAACAGTAGCTGAGTAAATCCAGCCCTCTTCGAATGTCTCGCAAAACCGAAAAAAGTGGATATTGCAAAACGTATTTGCACCAGGCAGTGTCCGGCCACATTTCTAAACCAACACCCCGCCCGTTTCTCAAAGAAACTAATCTTAGTACACATCTTCCAAAAATGACCCCTCTTTTTCAATCGCTTCCAAGGACGGACGGGCGATTGCATTTTAGAAGTGAAACAATGGTTCCTGGGGCGACATTCGATCGCAAGTCACGACGTCACAGAGCGGGAATTGGCTTAAATTATGTATACTTCAATAACGCATACCACTGTGTCGTACATCGCCTCAATTCATAGGAAAACCCGTAAATAAGACGATGTAGACTGAGGTGGCTGAACTTCCCATTTTTTAAAGTTTGCTTTCGTTCGAGAACGACATCTTCTTAGGCTCCAGCACATCAATGATCAACCTCACGTAGCTGAAAATAGCGACCTAAGTGGTCGAGTTCCTCCGAATAAAAATTGTCGACCTGAACAGCAGCAGCAGCAGCTCTTATGGCAGTTTTAAAGTCATTAATGAGGCACACAACAGAGGGCTTCCCACAGCTGGACAAACGCAGTGCCCCCCCCCTAACCCAACTCCTCTAATGAAATTACCAGCATATACTTATAAAGAAAGTAGAAAAATATTTATTAACGTGCTAAACACACAAGTACAGGATCACAGAGTGCCAAAATTGCGGTGAGTGTGTCCACGATTATGAATGGAATTGGTGTCAGCGACAGCTGTGGGCGAGGAGCAGCGCAAACCTATGGAAACAGCTGTTTTGCGAGTTTTCGTGTCCATTCGACGGTGACAAAGAGGGCACCCGTGGCAGGGAAGGTTCGTAGAAGTGTTGGACCGAGGCCTCTATAGAGGACGCGAATGCCTACAAGGGGAAGGAAATGCGACCTCTCTTTAACGAAGGCTGACAGGCCTCGGGCTGCTTCATTGCTAAGTCAGTGAAGACGGTAAAGTAGGTGGGTTAACTCATGAAATATCAAAAGAAATTCTGAAAGGCGTTTTCGTTGCAAAAAGATTAATTACGTAGGGTTGTAAAACGAATCATCATTCAGCATCGTTGTCTGATAATTCAGTTACCTCAGGATGCCGGCTTCCGAACGAACTTCCTTCTGGCTGCATGTAAACACTATACTCTGCAACAAATGGCTACTTAATTTGCGTGCACTTTCTCAGTGATTTTCGGTGCCCCTAAAAGTCCAATTATATTTCATGGAAAACATGCATAAAAATATTCATTCTTTCAACCATTCGGTAGATAACTACGTCTTCTAATTTTATACTCGAAGGAGGGATATAATTCGGTTTTTAAAAAGTTTCTAATTGTAGGACTTTTAAATAGCCTGAAATGGCCGTTCATAAATCGTCATGTTTCTGCATTTACCAATGTGGCTTGTAAAGTTAACAATATGGATTAAATCCACTGCTAAATTTTATGAATCCCATATAGTCTCCTCTTAACACCGTAGATAAATGTATGGTTTTCAGCACGCGGAAAATATGCGGCTTGTAGTTTAGAAACTCTGAATGCAAGTGTAACGGCAGGTCGGCTTCAAAATTATTCGAGGATTGGAAAAGTTTCTTGAAAACCGAATTATACCTTTGCCTTGAGTATGAAATTGGAAGAAGACGTAATTTACTACCGGATGAGCAAAACAATCAGTATTTTTATGCATGATTTCAATGAAAAATAAGTGAATCTTTAAGGGTACCGAAAATCAATGAGAAAAATTCATGCTTCTTAAGTAGTCATTTATTGCAGGGCATAGCTCTTGCATGCAGTCGGAAAACAGTTTGTTCGAAAGCCGGCACCCTGAGGTAACTGGATTATTATACAATTATGCTGCATGATGATCAGTTTTGCAACCATACGTAATTAATATTTTTGAAACGAAAACGCATTTCAGAATTTCGTTTGATATTTCGTGAGTTAGCCCACCTACTGTACTGGCCCGTAGAAGAGGCTCAACCTTACTGAGCAGTGAGATTAATTCCTGAAGTCAGGCACAGTCTGACCTCTGCAAATGCCTTCTGAGACAGTCCGGTCTCTGTGCTGGGCCGGCTCTTTCATTATCCCAAGAAGTGCACTTACCAGTTCGTAAGTAACACGCCTCCGACGGTCCGGTTGACGAAGATATGAAGTGCAGGATATGTGGGACTCAAACGCCGCAAATTCTCAGTTACAACGGCAAACGCCCACTGCATCACAAACGAAGATGTGTATGCACGCTATACCGACGGGTGGACACTCATTGCAACACACCAGCCGCCAAACTGGACGAGATGAAGCTCCTTCAAGAACTCGAATTTCGCCATAGCTACCAACAACCGACGGCCGTCTGCTTCGTTGACTTTGCCGCCGCGTTCACCGTGAGTCCCTGTGGCGGATAATGGCGCTATATGATGTACCGGCAAAAATCATCGCCATGATCAAGGCCTACTATCGCTCCTCTACTGCTAGAATACTGGTCCGCAGCAATCTTTCCCAACCGTTCGGTATTCGGTCTGGCGTCCGACAGGGTTGTATCCTGTCATCCATACTGTTCAAATACGCTATTGACTGAATCCGCCAGAGGGCCCTACAAGTGGGTGACGGCGTTGAATTTGCACCCGGACATCGACTGACTGATCTCGACTATGCCGATGATATCGCCTTACTTGCTTCAAGTTTTGGGGATCTGTAGTCTATGGTGTCAAGGGTAAACGAGGTCGCTAAATCGGTCGGTTTGTCCATAAACGCTGGGAAGACCAAAGTGTTCTCAAGCTGCATCCCTGACCAGGAGAAGGCACCCCACCGGGATTGATGGCTGTCCACTTGAAGAAGTAGACGGTGTTAAATACCTTGGGGCGAGGCTGCTGACTAATGGACAGAGTAAGGACAACATTGTCCTCCGAATCGATGCTGTCCGCTGGGTTTTTTCAAGCCTTCGGAAATTCCTGTGGAACCGACGTGACCTCTCCATCGCCACTAAGATCCGCGTGTACCGTGCATCTGTCCGGTCTGTCCTTCTCTACGGTTGTAAATGCTCGGCTTTGCGCGTGGAGGATGAGCGAAAACTGGAGGTATTTGCCCACCACTGCTTGGGGACCATCCTTCGAGTGAAGTGAACCGACTTCGTCTCAAATGAGACAGTCCGCGCTCGCTGCGACAACATCGCAAGGATAACTCAGGCCATCCAAGAAAGACGCTGAGGTGGTTCGAGCATGTTCTTCGTCGTCCACCTCAGGAGCTCAGTGTTACTGCCCTCGATCCGGCACCGTTGCCCCATTGGAGGCGTTGAAGAGGGGGCCAGTTCAAAACCTGGCACGACACTGTCCGTCAAAACATGGAGGTGGTTCTTGGACCTTCGGTATTTGGTCTCCGTCGTTGGCGAAGGGAATGGATTGAGCTGTCCAGAGCTGCTGCCGCGGATCGTCACGCGTGGAGAGGTACAGTTCGGGACATCATCGAGGCCGGCTAGATCAGGCATGATCGCAGCCGTATCAAGTACAAATAAGCCACAAGAACTCTTCAGAGCCAACGGCTATCCGCGAGCATTCGTTGAACGGAGTCGAAGGCAACCAAGGAAGTGGAATGTAGAGCATAGTCAGTCAAAATCGAGGCGGAGCATTCTGTACATGAAAGGGATCTCCGAAGCCGTGGCTAGATCCCTCGCGCCGCACGGAATAGGCGTTGCCCACGGCCCAACTCAACAATCCGCCGGCAAGTAATGCGGCCAAAAGATCCGACCCCTAAGCAGGTGTCGGCTGTCGCCTACCGACTTCAATGCAGCTGCGGGAAGTTCAACTACTTTGGGGAAACCGGCCGACGGCTACAAACGTAAACGCACGAGCATAAGTTGGCCGTGCGAAGGTTGGACCCAAAATCGAAGATAGCAACCCATGCCGCGTAAATGGGACACATCTCCAACTTTGACGCCGTTGAGATTGTGGGCGGGGACGGGGATCATACGTCAAGGCCTGGATGTCCACCGACTGCTCTGTCAACCGCCACATCAATTCGCTTCCCCCTATCTGACTTTATGAACCTTCTTAACGGGGGACAGTCACGAGCGAGACAATCAACGCCGTCAACCACCTCCACGGCCGACAAGGGCGGGGGTGATTCAGGTCACGGTGACACAGGCGCCATTGGCGGGCCACGCATCAAACAAAGTGCGCCATATAAGGATAACTGTGCGCAGGACTTTCCAGTCTCTGAAGATGGGTAGACGAAACAACTACTCGAGACGTCAGACCTCCAATACACCCCTCCCGGTGAACGTCTCCTTTTATTTCGATGATTGGATAAGTTTTTGTCGGCCTACCTCTAATAGCACATACAGTGGGCCCGTGCACCTAAAATTTGTAAAAATGCAAAGACTTTTAACAGATGCAGGCACCTCTGGCAAAAAAACAGCACTCTGTGCACGAATCCATTGTCTAAAGTGTGACAAGTGGTCAAGTAGAGTAGATTAATTAATGCGGAACTCGACCTTGGGAATCAGTTCATTCAAAAAGCCCATCCTACCCTAGCAACACAAAAGGCAATTAATGTATTTTTAAAAATACACAGCAACTGCCTGTAAGGTAGACCTTTTTAAACAACCTATGAGGAGATGCTTACGCCTGTATAATTGATAGAGTAGACGGTCTCAAAACTGCACAGGAATCTAGTCTTCCTCCCAGCAAGATGCCGATGTGGACGGGCATTGGGGTCTGACAAAACAAACATGGCGAAGGTGGCACAGCACAGCAATTAGCCGTTTTATCGCTGCGATCATTTGACATTAATTTCATTGTGAATAGTCACAACGAGGTCTTCCCTAAAACCTTCGGAACATCTGTGACACCACGCAGTGAGGTCAAAAATACTTTAAATACTTTAGAGGAGAGCTACCAACATGGAGAAAAATAATGACTAGTTGCCTCTTGCAATCCGCCTGGCACATCTTAGTCGCTTTGGTTTGAGTTAGAGGCGAGGGTGCGGAGAACAGATGCAAACGTTTCACACGCTGAACGGGATATTTACAGTCTGGCGTTTAGTGACATTTTCAAAGTTTCCTTCAAGATTTCGGCCGGAAAGCGTACCTGAATGCTGGAAAGCTGAACACCGCCCTGGAGATTAACGTCCGGACTCTTACAGGAGTCACTTAACTGTTCACAAATCAGTTAATCTTCCATGCATGTAACACAATGCAGGTGGGGTGTTCAAGGGTCCAAGGCTACTTCCCCTTATTAAGCTTTACTGAGAAGGCAGAATACCATAGGAGACTGAACGCAAGAGGGCGGATTGGCTGGAAGGACATGCATTTGGCCCCAAAATGGCAATTCGGTTTATTCGTTCACTAAAAACGATAGGATGCGCCTTTACACTATCGCCTCGTGGCCTGAAAGGCTGTCAACTGACGGTCATCAGCGGAGTCGACCTGCAATGGCTCCTTCTTAATTTGGCCTTTATGGCACCCCCGGGTAGATGGAATTCGAGCTGACCACTGGTTTCCATAAAGGCCTGGTCCGGTCTAGCCTTTTCAACCCCTGCGCCCGATCCTGTCTCCGGTAGTCTTAATAGTCTTCCCATAGGAGCCTGTTGAGTGAGGGGGCAGAGAATGGTAGATACTGCGCAAGTTCACCACACTACAAACTAATTCACCGGCCTACGCCCACTCAGTGGGACACGGGATGGAAGTCGTTGTTCGCGACAGCCGAACTGTCAATAACCAAGTGAACCCGGGTCACGCCTCAAATCTTCTCAACCTTCGGCCGGGTTGCAATTGAATAATGATGACGAACCAAGGTGTTACGCCTGGCCTACATATCCATCCGGTGGCTGCTTGGGTAAGCTGAGTTTGACAAGCCTTCTCAGGCCTGTGGATGAGGTCGTCAGAATAGCAGAGATAGTGTGACATCCATGATGTACATTTCCATTCTTGTATCCTTTGCTACTAACCGTTTGTTAGTAACCAGACTTTACTCACACTCTGTACCCCTATTCGTCGGTTCTCGTCATTCTTTGTTCACTGTCTATTGCTCTTTGTCTCCGCTCACTTTTAAATCGACCACCACACTTTGGCGTCATTCGCTGACTGCTCGTCTAATCACCTTGAATGTACGTCCACTTTTCAATTTATTCCCCGCCTTATTAACTCTATCGTGTTCTGCTAATCTTACTGTTTATTGCTATAGAACCACAAACAATAACCGAGTTATCCCGACTGTCTTCTGACATAGCTTTGACCTCGTGTGCGTCTATTCCGGTGAATAAACCAGCACTGAAGCGAGAAAATCTAGAGAATACTAACAGATAGCACAGGCTGGTAATCGGGCTGGGCTAACGCGTGTGCACGGCTGTTGTTGAGGCACACACGCAGAGAGAGATCTCCGTTAAACGCAAGCAGCCCAAATGGGGAGGAGGCGCAGGAGATTATGGCTCCTACCTTCTGTCCGAGCAATGTGGATAAGTGTGGAGAGCAGTCCTGTCGCAAAGGGTGCCGTCCGCCGGGCAGACAGCGGAGAGGAAGTAAGACCGATTTGCATCCTGGACTTCACTACGTCCAGCGGAAAGATGGAGACCCAAAGGGCCGCGCCGCCAAAGCCACCGGCCACAGCTGTAGCCAGGGGGCCCAGGTCGTCCTTGGTCCGCCCTCTCGGAGTGAATGCACTCCTAGCGGATTCGTAACCGCCGAAGAAGAAGAAGTATCCAATCATTTCGCGAGCCAGTGTCGGAACGAAACCCCGGTAAAGTCCACGTGGTCCCTCGGAAAGGAGGACTTGTTTCGTAATCTGGTAGGGGCTGCTTTATTAAACCGAAAAAGAGGGGGAGGGGGTTAATCACAAGTGCATAAGGGACGATTCATTTGGGTGATCGACTATTCTCCAAACACTCGGGTCAGCGGTAGCAGGGACGAATCGACCAGGAATTCTATAGTCTGTAGGAGAGATTAGTTAAGCAGAAACAGGAAAGTTGTGACTGTGCTTCTAGAGACGTGTGCACCCGCGGGATGCAGGCATATCGACTTGGTTAACCGGATACCTCACGAATCGACTAGACAGGCATACCAGGACAACGAAGACCCCGTGAGATGTCTGCTGGTCCACCTCCAGGTTACCTGACAGGTGTGAAAGTAGCAGTAACTGGGAGCTGACAAGCAAGCGGCGACATTGTGATACGGCGACCGTAAACCGTGAGCAAATAAGCCCGGATATCAGTGCTGCCTCGCAGTTGCGTTCCTAACCCAATAGTTACCCCATAGTTACAAGCTGGATGGGGTTATGGTATAATTTAAAAAAGGATTATTGAGGGGAAGTTAAGTGTTTACTTTTCACAGCGAGAGGGGATGCTAAGGCATAGTCAAGTCAGCCAGAGAAGATCACAAAGGTCATTGGAACGACCTCCATGGGTCCGGCTACGAATGTATGTAACAGTCTAAAATTATTAGTAGTAGGTCCCCGCAGAATGCTTTCGCGATGTGATTGGTAATTTTACCATTGACAACAGTTTGGATAAGGTCGCGAGACCGACTCACCACCACCCTCCTCGCTCGCTAAGAGTGTAGTTTCAGTCTTCTCCGGCCCTGATGCAATTTTGAGACTGCACCAGGCTGCAACCGTCAGTGGCACAAGGAAACTTCCGGACGAAGGGGAAGACTGCTGCAAATATCATTGTTCGCTGCAGTGCTGATATAAACCAGTGGACTGTAAGGTCCACATATAAGCTAGTTGATTTTAGCGGGCTCTATAGACCCAACCATACGACAGTCTTTGCCCAAGTGCAGGATGTCGCGTGTCGCTGGTGCTTGGGAAAATCAGTGACCGAGTTTGAAAAACGCCAAAAAGCAGTGACAATGTACTGGTGCTTGACATAACACGGTGCGAAAAGACTGGGATATCAGTTTATTAAATAGCAGTGCCTAAACAGCCAGCAAGACACGCCGAGCAGTTCTGATTAACAGGACGCAGCCGGCTTCAAGGCAGATAAAATATGCTGGTTATGTCCTCAGCCTCTGATAAACAATCGAGTAAAACTCGTCATCCCAGCAACTACTCGCAAACCACGTCTACGTTCTATTGTTTCCACCGTGAATCCGCCTACGGTGCGTGACCGAGCTCATGAAATGTTGGTCGACATTCTGAACTGCGTTTTCTTCTACAAGGAAGGAGTACTTGGATGAGGTTGTGAAGTTGCTTATCATGCGGCATAATCCTATTGCATTTCAAACTTGCCAGGATGTCGGTTTTTGAATGCACTTCTTTTCGAACTCCCGCAGAAACTACACTCGGTAAAAATCGACTACTCAAGTAGCGTGCGTTTTTTCTATTGATTTTCGATGGTCATGTAAATTTACATATATTTTCTATAAAACATGCATAAAAATATGCTTTCTTCTACTAATTTGATAGAAAATCACATTTTCATACTTTATATCCTAAGAAAGTGTATATTTAGGTTTTGAAAAAGTTTCCCAATCCCCGAATAATTTTGAAC